AGAGCCCAAGAGGGAAGTGGAGCGAAAGGATCTGTCTAATCGGGGGAGTTTCATCATGTGGGTTGGGGGTGTAGGGGCAACATCCCGCGGTTTAGTATATGTGTAAGTTAAGTAATTACATATTGTATTATATGGATATATATATATATATATGTTTTGTTTGTAACCCTAGGTGAGTCTCTGGGTTTCTGAGATTCTGAATCTTGTATTTCGTACTTTTTTCTGAATATTGAAAAGGAAGCCGCTGCTCTGCTCCCGAGGACGTAAGCATCTTTATCGAACCTCGTTAAATTTTTGTGTGTTATTCTGGATTTGTGTCCATTCCTGTTTTTCTTCGCCCTAATTTCTCAACAGGTCACAGGTACTAACCTCACACGAATGAATTCTCCAGGATTCCTCAACCATGTCAAGCGAATGATAAGGGCCGCTCAAATCTTAGGGACGTGGCTTGCACCTCCTGGTTAACCCTTCAGCCATAGCCGCCCGGGTCATCACTCAGCCAAACGTAATCTTAAACTCTCAGCCCATAGCCGCCAGGATCAACTCGGTCAGGCGCCATTTCAGTCTCCCAACCCTAAAACCATGTATTGTCCAAAATGCCCGGTATTGTACCTACTTTACTAGGGGTAAAAAATGTAATCTTCCAACCCTCATTTCTATAAATAGGGTTTCATTTCATGAATAAATATTACGTGATTTTACTATTCATTACTATGCTCTCTCTGCTATTTTCATCTCTTACACGCTCTATTCCTTAAGCGTGTCTCCCATACATAATTGAATTTAGTAAGTCCCATGAAATTTTTTCTTATAGTGCCATATGACATTGGGTCTTAATTAACTATACAACAAGGTGGAGACAAGGCTCTTATGTTTAATAGAAACCAAAATCAAATGTAAATTTCTTATTTATATGGATCATCACCATCCAAAAACATATTGTTTAGAAGTCTGAAACATTTTTTTTATTTAATTTGTGCCCATCAAGTTCATTCCTCTATAGAAAAGTCATCAACCTTGTTTATCTATTTATTGCAAGGAAGATTCACATGCATTCCACTCAATTCCTATTTATTTACGACCGAACTTCAATTTTTACATATATTCCATCTCAGCTATACAAGAAAAAGTTCATTTCGCTTTCTAAAAGACAAAAGTAGTGATATTTTTGATGTAATACAAAAGATTTGTTTGTAAAAATGTAAAAAAGTAAAGTTTAGATGTTAGAAATGTAAATACATACGAATTGGACGGTATTCTTGTAAAAGTGTCTTTTTTTTTTTTTTTTAAGAAACGACCCAAAACTATTATACAAACCTCCAGCCATTCTTAATGTTTCTTAACAATTAGAGTATGCCATCCTTAAGGCTCGCGTCGCCAAAGGAGATTTAAATCTCCGACCTGATAGGTCTTGTACCAACCAAAAGATTGGGGTTCCCATGCAAGATATATATATATATATATATACATATCATGTAGCTTTCCAAAAGACAGCATGGTAATTGGTAAACTATTATAGCACTGGAAAATCATGGAAAGTGCATTAAAGGCCACCTGTGACAGTGATTTAAAAGGAAAATATGAAACACACAACAAAACAATACATTTCATAAAATTACAAAAAGAGAAACAGCAGTGGTGCCAGTCAAAGCTGGCAGAGGGCTGAAATTCCCCAAAACCAGCATGCTCCAGCAGCTATCATCACCTCGAATGGCTAAGAAAACAAGGGAGATAAATTGGAATTGACATCACATTTTAACTCATCAAATAAATGGAAGGAGCTTTTAAATACATACCACTTAAATCTTCTATCACCCATATCAACATCAAACAATGACTCAGCCACATCATCTTGCATGCATCAATGGACACCACCATCACATCATTGCATTCAATTTTGGCAGTTTTGTAAATTCTAGAAATAATAAATTTTACCTAAGCCATTATCTGTAGGGACCAAGAAACTTGCCTTATAGAAGCCATGTGACATTAATCAAAGGGCAAATATTGATAATATATGTGATAGTAACTAGGATTCAAGGCTAAAAAATTCCAAAATGATTCTGTATTTACATCTCTAACATGTAACCTTAAATATTTACATGCATAACACTCAAATCTTTAATATCATATAAAAAATGCCACTATCATCATATCCACTATCATCATATTTTTAAAAGCTCAATAATTATAAGTGTAAATATTAAATTTTGGGTGTAAATATGTAAATACTAAGAATTGTGTGGTATGTATGACTCATATACCATATAGGGACAGACACTGTATCGAAGCGGAGCGGAGCGGAAGAATCTGTCCAAATGCCCCGCGATACGATATAGGGGTAATGTTGTAATTACGTATTATACTTAGGGTTTACTCATGGGGTTATAAATAGGCCTATTAGTAACCCCAGGAGGTATCCCTCTATTTTGTAATTTCTTTTCTGAATATTGAAAGGAATACGCCGCTCTGCTCCCGATGACGTAGGCATCTCTGCCGAACCTCGTTAAATCTCTGTGTTCTTCTGGATTTGTGTCAATTACTGTTTTTCTTCGCCCTAATTTTCTCAAAAGGTTATATATAGCTGAAGCTAACTAATATATCAACATCATTGTGTACTGTGGTTTTTTTAAAACTCTTGCTTGTTTTTAACTTTCTCATTATAACATAAGATAAGCTCATCACATTCTTATACATAATATTGGATGTATTAAACTCTACTTTCTTATGAATGATGAGTTCAAGGATTTATACTGTCTCTAAATTTGTGTATTATAACCATTGATTTAATGCTGATATTTACATCATAACAAAAAGACTAGTTGTGAGAAAAAATTTTATAGGCGTCTTAGAAATAGATCACTAGATGATGACAGTAATTTTAGATGGACTGATGGCTACGATGAATCCACTTCAGACAGTGACCATGTGGGAAGAGAGCTTTAGATAAATATTCTTGAGAGACTTGATCATTTGGACATCAAAAATAATATTATGTTAATATTGCATATTATTATAATTATAATTTTCATTTTACTCGATGTTGAATGATGCATAACTTTTGATGTAATATGTTGGACGTGTAACTTCTTATAAACTTCTAAAATTTAATTTTGATGATCTATTTGAATTTATTCTAAAAGAGTAAAGTTACGACCAACACATATACATAAGGGCATTACAGTCTTTAAACAACTGCAACACAACAGATTCATAGAATTCATAGTTAAATTATAAAAACAGACATACTATTTCACCAACAACTTTCTCACAGTAAATTCTCCTGCAACATCTTTTTGAAGCATCTATTACTGTCCCAAATAAACCATAAATCTCAACCCAATATATCGAAATAAGTTAGCCCTACGCATTCTTTTATCCCTATAAGAATACTATTAACAAACATGTAATGCGTAGGGATGTATCTATCTTTATCATTGATGATGTTATCACTATTGAGTTCACAATCAAGGTCACATGTTGGCAACCCTATGAGTTAGTTCATAACTAAATAAGCAGATCCAATCCCCTCTCAATGATCGCAGATAAGTTGTAGTAGCTATAATAACCTTCTCCTCATATTCTTCATACGCTTTGAAGCTTCATTCAATAGTGTCACACTCCTCATATTTTATTATTCAAGATATCACATATTTAAGCATTTTGGCTATACTCTTATTTTTCTTTGTATTTTCCAGGTCTTTTGAATCATGTTGTATTATTAGAGGCATTTATCTTGTTTAGCATACTCCTTCCTACCATTGTAATGATAAGAATGTTGATAATGAACATAGCTAGGACTAAACTTAACCATGTTACAAAATTATTGAACTCTAAGAAATAAAATAAAACTAAGATTGTGGGACATTTATAGACGTACCACCCAGTCACCATGTGTTTACATATTTAACAGCTAAAATTTGCATTTACATTTATGCAAAAATACTAGCTCATTTACTCTTAAAATTGAAATACACTTTGTTATGCATAGGAGAAGTGGTTTCCATGCAAAAAATTAAAATTTAGGTGTTTTATATGTAAATACATAGGAATTGAGTGGTATGTCTGCAAATCTTCCTAAATTTATGGCCATATCCGACAGTACTAAACTTGACCATCCAAACTGAGCACAAACCTTCAAACAACCTACCAAAAGCAATTACAACTGTAAATTTCATGTTGGCACCTACAATACTAAGAGGCATATAAAGTTGTGTTATTCACAAACAGCTTGTGTTTAGGTCGTTAATAGCTAATATTCGGTTTATTCGTTATGTAAACGAGCCGAACGCACAAATTTTTTAAACTCGAATTATAAACAAGCCGAATACAAATAACCCCTTGTTCGCTTGTGATCGGCTCGTTTGAGCTCAAAATAAAAAATTTATATATATTATATATATTTATATCTAAGTTTAGACCATAATAGCTCGCATGGTCATGTAGTTTTGTGTCTTATATTGCACGAAATTGATGCAGGTTCGAATCCAACACGCTTCATCTATTTTTTCCAATTAATTTTAGCAAACCAATTTCGAGCCGAACACGACAAGAATATTTAAATGGAGCTAAACATGAACATACCGTTCACGAGCTAATTTCGAACAAGAGTCAATTTCAAACAAGCGATTTCGAATGAGCCGAAAACGAGTCAAGCCTGAGCTCGCTCAAACTCGGCTCGTTTCCAGCCGTAGATGCATAAACTAATTAAGGAATTTGCATGTTTAGTCTCACAAACAATTTTAAAAACAATTCAATTTCATATAAAGCTGAAAAAGCTACAGCCATCTATGTAAAAGACTGTTTCAAGCTTATAACAAGCCCACATGCACTATAAATCTGATGCATAATTTGTGTAAATAGCAGCCTGATTATAATGATCATGTGTTCAATACAGCAATTTCATGTCCAAACTGGATTGAAAAGGATAATGAAATGGTTACAAAAATCCTTTTTTTTTCCTGGAAATGAATATTACTAGAGATTCTCAATGAGGCTATGCCTAAGTGTATAATTTCTTTGCAGTTTGATCTCCTGCAAAATGTAAAATTGCATATCTACACACCTTGGTTGAATTGATGTGAAAATTAAGGATTGGATGTCGAACAATAAGACTCGGTCTTGATAACTCGAGTGTTATACGAGCCGCAGAAACCACATTTGTGGTAGAGCCAATGGAAGCGAGAAGTTCCCTTTTTATCGCAGTCGTTGCAAAGTATATCCTGAATAATGTTAGTGAAGATTTTCAGTAATAATCTCAAAGCTAGTTTTTTTTTCAGTTGAAAGATGGAGTATCAATGTATGGGGAGAGTTTAGCACCTGACACTTGTTTCTGTATTCCTCAGGAAGCTCTTCAGCGGACAGTAATGCATCAAGCATGCCAAAATATACCTGACATCAAAATGGAGATGTGTTAAAAGTATTAATTTGGCAGTGATAATGGTAGGAAAAAGGAAGATTTATTACATCCACGCCACTCAATTATTATGTATTTACATATCTAGCAAACATTTTTTCTTTGCCTGTGCATGAAAAGGTGTATTTCACTTTTTAAAAGTTAAAATAAACATACCACACAATATTATGAATTTACATAGCTAATACCTAAATTTTGAATTTGTATTTGTAATACCCAATTATCCCATATCACTTCAAAGATATCCACCATTTTAACTTTTTAAAAGTGAAATATACATTTTTCATGCATAGATAAACTGGTAGATATGTAAATATTAAATATTTGGTTATCAGAGATATATAAATACATAGAAATGGGTGACATGTATGTAAATCTCCTAAAATAATTTCACTTGTAGCTAACACTGAATATAAGTATATCAGATTAGATTAGCTTCTACTTTCAGCTAGATTAAAAAGAGTGAAGTTAAATAAAATAAGGAAAAAAATAAAAAACAATGAACAAATTAATAGCAAAGTTCATGGGCTATCTAATATGGCCAGTATCAGAAATGATTCCCCAAAAAACAATTTAAAGACGAAAATATTACAAGAGTGAGGCTTCTGAGTAAGCTCTGCACAACAAGACTAGGTCGAGTAAATCCATCAGACAGTTACATTAGTAATTAGTGGCAGAACGATGAAATGAGGAATCAGGATAGTGACAAGTTGTACTGTCATTTTATCCAGTGTAAAAGCTAAAATAAATAAATAACATTAAGGGGCATTTCATAAATACCACCCAGATCATAAGTATTTACATATCTAACTTAAACTTGCTCTCTACATTTTTACAATCCAAATCTTTTATATGACAGCAAAAATATCACTATTTTAACTTTCAAAAAGTGAAAAACACCTTTGTAGAGGTAAGGTGGTACGTATGTAAAAATTGAAGTTTAGATGTTAGATATGTAAATATATAATTGAATGGTAGGTATGTAAATCATCCTAAAATTAACTAGTTTCACCCGCAGTATAAAAGGCAAAAGAAAAAAATAAAAATACCGCCATGTCTCCTAAAGATTTGCTGCAAACAGGACAGGTGTAGTGACTGCAAGTATAAGCCTGCAGATAGAACAGTGAAGGCAGTTTGCCATCAGTTTATTTGATCATCTAAATATTACAAAACATGGTAACAAAAGACAAACAATAGCTTAGGGGTTGTTTGGGGTCACTTTTTCATTTCATATTTTTGTTTTTATTTTTACTCATATTTTAAAAACATGTTTGTTTAGTACATTTGTTTAATATTTTTTTATTTTTGTTTTCAAAAATAAATTACTTTATTTTAAAAACATTCAAAACAGAAAGTTCCTTTGAGTGTTTTCAAAAACAACCAATCATTTTTAACATACCAAATATGTTACAATTGAAGTAAAAACATGAATAAATAAAATAAAATCAAAAATCAAAAATCAAAAGCAAAAGTGATCCGAAATAACCCCTAAATTTATGAGAAGGGTAAAACACAAAAAAAAAAAAAAAAAAAAAAAAAAAAACCTTACCATGATGGAGGTAACAAAAAGAGCCAAAAAGGGCATTAAACGAAGTACCTGAAAGCATGCTGAGTGCATAAAATGACCACAAGGTAGAGCTCTTACGGCAGCACTTGATGTGAAAAGAAAATCACAGCAAATTGGGCAATTAGTTTCGAGCCCTTTTTCTCTACATTTATGTTCTACTAATTTCATTCCGAGGCAACAGTTACATTTCATGCAATGAAAAAAGTCGACTCCAAGTCCTCTACCAACACGGCATAAGTTGCAGAAGGGGCAGTGATAGACCGTCCTGAAACACAGTATTTTTCTTGAGCAGTAGTTATTATTACATCCAACTGCTCATAATAAAAATCAAACAAGTTGCATGGTCAAGTACTATTGTGATATGCTTCTAAAATGTTCCATGTTATTACACCTGAGCGGAGGGTCAAAATAGCCCTCTGATTATTTATAGAGGTAATGTAGCTGCAACAGTACAGCGGGAATAACTATAGCAGGAGACGGGCCGAAATAATTTTGTTTTCCTTTATTAATCTTTCTTTCATATTACGCTTCATTCCTTTTCAGTCATTTCCAATATGTATTATATTAGGGTATGGAAGTAAGTTTTTGGCTAAAGTTTGTTTAGGATGGCCATCGGCATCCTTTCCTTCCTTTGAAGGCTATATGTGAGGGATTGGGTGGTTCTAGGGCTATATCTCTCTCCAATGTGGTGATTATCTTTCCCTGTCCCCTTCTGCGTCCTCCCAAATTGCTCTCGGCTGTTCCATCCCTGTTGTAGCTGCCCAAAACACTGCTGTTTCTTCCTACAGTATTCCATCTTCAATCTGCTGCCAGCCATTTTCTTCTTGCTACCACCATCCAGGACAGCAAGGAGTTGATATTCCTGCCTTCCCCGTCATCATGCCTCCCCTCCCAACGTGCCTCCACCTCGATAACCTACGCCCTACCCCTCACACGTGCTGCCACCTTTCAGAATTTTCCTCCCTCGCTGTCGCAGCCATTCCAGCCACCCATACCACTCTTCGCCACTAACTAGTTGTTGTCCCTGTTGTTCCTCGTGATGTCCTCGATGTTTCAATCACCCTATCTATCCTCCAGAACAAGGCCCAGGCCTTACCACAACTCATCCACCTTCTAGAAACCTTTACCTATTGAATCTGCCCCCTCCCAACACTCCAACCTATCCATTCCCACTTAGCTCGTTGACCTCCATCAGGATACAATTTAGTTGTGTTTGTTTGTCTCTGTTATTGCATTTCTCTTCCAGTGTGTGAATTGTAACCTCCTAATCGTCTTTACAGTAATTATATTTGGTTTTCCTATCATGATTTGGGTTAACTCTGGAATCATTTGGTATCATAGCTAGCCTAAGTCTAATCCTATCATAAAGTTTCTAGCATCTACCATACCTAAATCTATCTCCACCTAATTTTTTTCTTTTCCATCGTACATCACCCTTACACGTTTTCCACCTACCCACACCCAAAACATAGCTATGACGCAAAGGAAATAATCATCGAAAGCCTGGTCAAGGGGAAAAAACTTGATGTCGCTTATGAGATGTAGAGAAGAGCATCAACAGACTGGTATTCGTATCCAAAAAGGCCATGAGTTTGAAGAACCGATAAAAGACACATAGCAAATCCAGATAAAAGAAATTCAGACTTTTCAGATATATAAGTTACTTCCTGAGTTGCCCCTACTGAGAGAGGTCTAGAATGTCCGAGATGAGACTCTTTTGTGTTACTTCTGAAAGCCCACAAGGAATCATTGGAGTACTAAACTCAGTTCAACAGTATACCCACCGAAAATTGATCAGGTTAGACAGATGAACTAAATTTTTGAAAATCTCCCTAGGAGCTTTATAGAAAGGAACCTCATATATCGAGATCCAAATCTTTGCAGAGAAGAAGATGACCCTTCTGAGTAGTTATACTTCAGTGTAGTCCAAAATGACATAGATTCCATCTCAGAGTTGATTCCTCCTTACATAATTATTTATCAGATACCTTAGGACGAATATGAAGAGTGGAGAGAGCCAATTATAAACTTGATGACTTGAGTCTTGGTTCATAAGGATACTCATACAAATAATTTCAAGCTGTGATTGTGACAAAAGATGATGGATACCTATTCATCAAGATGTGTTTTGGAATGTCAATGCTAACATGATTGACTTACTGGGAGATTACAATGTTTCTGTCATCTTCAATGTGGCCGACCTAACGTCATACAATGAGACAAAAACTTCGATGGATGAAATTGAAGCTACACCAATCCAATAAGATTGATACAAAAGCTTATCACATAAAGTTATCACGATATTGTGATTGCTACACTGCCGCAAGAATAAATAACGAGTGAGACGGGCCGAAATAATCTCATTTTCCTTTCTTATGTTTTTTTTTCCCTATTATCTTTCATTCCTTTTCAGTAATTTCCTATATATATATATAGTATTAGGGGTTTGAAATTTACTTTTTGGTGTGAGTTTGTTTGGAACAGCCGCCGACATCAGTTTCTCCTTTTGAGGGTTGTATCTAAGGGATTGGATGGTGCTTCGGTTTATTTCTCTCCCGATGTGGTGATTTTCTTCCTATATCCTCTTTCACTTCCTCCACACTATTCCATCCCTGCTACTGCATTCCTACTGCAGCTGCTCGGGATAGTTGTCCTATTGTTTCTTTCTGCAGTTTTCTATTAATGCCAGATGTTTTTCTATTTGTTGTTGCCACCGAGGACAACAAGGAGCTGTCCCCACCATCGTGCCTCACCTTCTAATGTGTCATCTCCAGAACCTGCGCCTTACCCCTTCCTACATGCTACCACCTTCCATAATTTGCCTCCCTCATTGTCACAGATATTCCAACCGCCCTCTGCCACTACCTAGCTATCGTCCCAATTGTCCCTCATGCTGCCCTCGCTATTCTAGCCACCCCTATTCATCTCTTTGTTGTGGTATATTTAAAATAGAACGAGAAAAATTCACACCAAAAGAACACACAAATTTACGTTGTTAGACAAATTGTCTACATCCACGGAGTTGCAGAGGATTTTATTAATTGAGGAAATTACACCGGTTGATAGTTTCGACAATTACAAGAAAGATTTCTTTCTACCTCTTTCTCTCTTCTCCTTCTGTCTCTTTCTCTTCACCTACCCGAGAGTGACGTGAGAAGCAAGGAGAAGCCAGAGAGAGGAGCACTCGCGATTCTTCCTTCATACTGCCGTAAGCAAACAATGAAGAACCACACCGAAGAAGACGATCGAACTGGAGCAGAGTTCTTCCTTCATACTGCCGTAAGCAAACACTGAAGAACCACACCGAAGAAGACGATCGAACTGGAGATGCCTTGCAATTCCAATCCAATCAGAAATTGGATTTAATCCCTTCTACTTCATGCTTAAGCCACATGCAAAATTACGCCTCCTTTTCTTACGTCACACGGGAGATTCAAAAGGAGGAAGAAGAAGTCTGAGAGAGCCGAACCTCGCGTTTTCTTCCTGCTTAGAGTTCTATCGTAGAAGCCAAGAGATTTCTTTCCTCTGTGTTTCGTAAGCCACCAAAATTGTGAAGACAACCAAAAAAAAGAACCGCAAGAAACTACAGATTGCACTTCACATCAAATGCAATTTCTTCTATTTCTTTAATGGTGGTGAGACCCACCTTCCATAGGCAAAAGTAAATAGGCGGGAATAGTTACAGAAGAGGCGACAAACATATATATTTTAGATTTTTTAACCGGGCTTCACACTCAACAAATCTCCCACTTGAAAATCTGTATACTGGCTACATCTTCTTCCTCAATCTGATATCTTCCACTAGCGGCGTAACTGTTTTCTTCAACATGATATCATCCACCTATACAACTCAAGACCCCTGTCTTCAAGTTAAAAGACCAACTGAAGTTACGCACAATTTCAGTTTCTCAAGAGCAACACCCTTTATCAACATATTAGCAGGGTTCTGACTTCCACAAATGTTCTCAAGTAACAACTGTTCAACATCCAACAATGACCGTATGAAGTGATATCTGATCAGAATGTGCTTATTCCAAGACTGAAATGTTGGATTCCAGACAAGGAATATGACGCTCTGACTATCACTGTAGAGAATGCCCTCTTGTTCTTCTTGCCCAATTCTTTTAAGAAGCCCTATAATCATATCATCTCTTTTACAGCCTCTGACACTGCTTTGTACTCAGCTTCTGTAGTAGACAGCTAAACTGTCTTCAGCAGGTTAGAGATCTATGATACTGCGGTGCCACCAATATTATAAATATAACTCGTAGTACTTCTGATATCAATATCTCCAACTAGATCAGCATCAACATAGCCATGTACCTCTGAACTCTTTTTTGAAAGACACAAGCAAGTTTCTGAAGAGCCTCTTAAGTATCTCAAGATCCACTTCACTGCTTCCCAATGTTTCTTTCCAAGATTACTCATGTATAAGTTCACAACTTACTAACAACTCTCACTGCGTGGGCAATATCTGGTTTGGTGTAAGTCATAGCATATATAAGTTAACCAATAACTGAAGCATAAAGAACCTTACTCATGTGATCCCGTTCCACCTCTGACTTTGGTGACTGATTCTTGCTGAGTATGAATTGACTTCCCAAGGGTGTGCCAACTTGCTTAACCTTATTCATGTTGAACCTGCTAAGTACCTTTCACATACTCAGCCTGAGAGAGTCTCAACATGCCTCTGACTCTATCTCTGATAATTCTCATACCAAGGATTTGTTTTTCCGCTCTCAAATCCTTCATTGCAAAGTGTTATAACATCTGCTCCTTCAGATTTTTGATCTCATCAATACTAGCCCTTGCAATAAGCATATCATCCACATACAGCAGTAGGATGATATGAGAATCGTCAAAATATCTGACATAGCAATAATGACATGTCTGACATCAAAATATCTGACATAGCAATAATGACATGTCTGACATCTGATATACCCTGTTATTGTGCATGAAATTATCAAATTTCTTGTATCACAGTCTAGGCTTCAGGTCATGCAAGCTCTGCTTCAATCTGCAAACTGACTCTTCCTTTCCCTATCTGATATACCCTGTTACTGTGCATGAAATTATCAAATTTTTTGTATCACAATCTAGGAGTTTGCTTCAAGTCATGCAAGCTCTGCTTCAATCTGCAAACTGATTCTTCCTTTCCCTGTACCACAAACCCTTCAGGTTGGTGTATTTAGATGTCTTCTTCAAGATTCCCATGAAGAAAGGTTGTCTTCACATCTAACTGCTCAAGAAATAGATTTTCAG